GGCGCCTAACAAAGCTGGATCAGCCGTGCTTTTACAATGGATGAAGACAAATCAGTAATCTGTTCCGCTGGTGAGGAATATTAATTCCCGTTCTCCAGACTTTGGTGTTTTTCCAGATGTGCATGCAGAAACTTTTAACGTCTCCCTTTCTCGTGCTCCCCTCCTCTCTCTTCCATTAATCCACGGGCTGCGACGGCTGGGGAATTTAATTATTCTCGCCAAGTTTCATCTCATTCCAGACAAAATGCAGTTTCTACAAAAGCAGGCACTAATTTTCAGAGGAAGGTCAAGCGTGACCAAAAAGTGTCATATCACCAGTCTTGTCAAATCAGCATCAACTCTCAACTTATGTTGGCTAAGATCAATAGCTATTAATGTTAATAAGCAGGTCATTTGCTTTCCAGTGGTCATTAATCATGTAAATGACTTTGGTAATTTGGACTGACTGATGGTTAAACTTGATGATAATAAGAATAATCCATTGTCCTTTCAATAAGTGCATCAAAGGTTAGTGTCTGAAAAAAAAAGTATTTTTTTAAAGGCACTGAGACGATTAAAGAGAGTTTAAAGATGAATTGTTGCGCTAATCTTGATTGAAGTCATTAACAAAATAAGATTGATCAGGCAATTTACAGCCAGGGCCAGATGAATCTAAGATCACTTTTAAATAAGTTGTTCGTGGAAAGAGAAATAAAGGAGGAATCCAAGTGTAAATAAACCAGTGACACATAACTTTAAGTGACACAAGGGCAAAAAAACTGTTAAACTGCAGTTTAAACTAACGTTAGGCCACAAAATTACGTAACGGTACACAGTAGGTGTCTCCCATCAGCTGTTGAAGGCAAGTGGCGATTTATTATCCCAAATGAAATAGCTTCCCAATGAATGTTTACAGTAGTAAAAACTAAAGACTCACCCACTGTGAGCTGCCCGGTCAGCTGGCCTTGGTCGTTCCTGACGTTCATCGTTACGTTCTTTTCTGATCGCAAGACCAACAAGCTGTCCTAAGGGAAGCATGAATGGGGAAGAAGAAAGACAGAGAGGGCGAAAGAATAAAAGAGAAGAAATATGTTATTTGGATCTTAAATCTGATATTGGGATCCCTTTAATAGGAGGGAGAACCTTAGCTATGTAAATTATTTTCTTTGTCATGATCCCACTGGCTTATTTAAACAGCTCATACAGCAAAAACCACAAGACCAAAAGTCACCAAAATTGGCAAGTGGGTTGCAAATTCACCTACTTCTCAGGCACATAAATTGACACTCATTGACCTTAAGGTGGCGCTGTAACAATCAAGTTTACCTTATATCAATTATCTTGAAAGCAGCTTGGTTTAGAGTCATTTTAGAATCATTTTAATCTCTTAAGTCATCTGCATCTTTCTTCTATTGATCTTCTGCTTTAAAATGTAAAATCTTGTTTGTGTCAGCATCACCTGCAGGCTCTGCTGATCTTAAGTTGTTAAAGAAATGTCAATATGCCAATCCATTTCGATTTTACAAGCCCCATCAAAATAGGTACATTTGATAATAATTGTGTACCTACGTCAATGCAAAGAAGGTTGTATTGTAATGTAAAAAACCCTTCCCAAGTAAATATTTCCTAGATATAAACCACTGAATTAAACCACATTAAGACTAAAACAGAACGAATTAAAACTAAATTATCCAAGGATGAGTAATGAAGTGTAGGTAGAGTCTGAGGAGAAGGGAGTGGCAGGGTGGTTGAGCTGAAAATGTGTATTTTCCATCACTGACAGGGGTACGTGTGTCCTTTCTTCACTGCAGACATTTTAACTCTGGACCTTTTCTACTTTCTGGCAGTTTTGCATTTTGCAAGTTTATGGCTCTTTGACATTTGAATGATGGCACACGTGTGTCACTGCGTGCATGCTGAAAAGGCTTGCGCTTCATGCAAACGGTTTTCTCTTTGTTTTGTCGAGATTCTAGTAGGCTGTGGATGCAGTGAGGTACCCAGTAAATCCACCATACTCTAAGGGTTCATGTATGTATGCATGAGTGAGAGGCTTACAGCAGTGTTTGTGTACATAGCATCAGTAACTGTGAAAATGCAGCTGCTGAGAGTACTGCTCCTTGATGTTTTTGGATCATATCTGCTTGACCAAACGTTAGATGTGCTGTAGCTTTGTTGTATATAATGTGAGTATACGCTCTAATTTAACTGTGTAATGTGGTGGGAATTAGTTTATTCTTATGACAAGAGTGGTGCTGAAAGCTTGGCGACATAGTGACCACTTGCACTCTTGGTTGATAACATGACAGTATGTTAATGCAAATTGTGGGCTGACATAACAAAACTGGCATAACACTGACATATTGTCACCTCATGAAGTTAATATGGAAAAACTTGTTAGCTAATAACTGCATATTTACACATCTGGCAGATGCGATGCAAGATTATCATTTATTTAGAGTCGAGGCCGCCTGATAAAAGTTCAATATTTTTTTAGCTTTTAGCTCTGTTTTGGTACATATATAATTTTTTTGGCTGTTAAATGCTCCACTATTACTGAATGGTGTTTGTTGCATACAACTGGTTCATCAGTTTTTATGTTGGTACTGAAAACAGCTGCATTCTGTGTCAGAAAGCTATACTGATGAGAAAGGTGAGAAGTAAACCAAACAGTAAAGTTGCAAACTGTAAATCCAAAACAATGAGCTGAAAGATGCTAAAATGCACTGTAGAACTGAGGGGTGACAATTCTCTGTGGGTTCATTACCACGAATAACCCCTTTCACATTACAGTCATTTGACCTATTGTAAAAATAAAAGTATCAATGATAATGATTAATGATAATGTATAAAACATTTTTTAACTCAGCACAAAAGCGCACAGCTAACCCACTGATGGTGCACGCAGCTGTTGATTTGAACTCCCAACCCCCTTATATCTCACAATGTTCAGTTCATGTTAATGTTTCTTACGGTTGGATTATTTGTAATTAAAAGTGACATTTGTTATCCATTTAGTCATAGTTTCACATTTGAGCTAATAATTATGCTGTGATGCATTCTAATAGGTTTGATTAACTTCATGCTCTCCCAAAAGAGGCGTTAAATTGTAGCAGATCAGCTCAAGTTTGTGCGGCATGTAACTTTGCAGAGGTCAGTCGGTTCATTTTCATTCCCTGCTTGCTCCTCCCCAATAGAAATGTGCATCATGAATGGAGGTTCGCCAGAAAGCACAGCATCATGAAGAAAATTTTAGTTCTTGATTTGAAGTATCCCTTTAAAGACTTTATAGGTCTTAAACTGTTTCCTGGGGGGCCATGACTGAGACGCTCCTGCTCTCCTCAACACTTCTTTGGGATCACATAAAAGGCTTTTTAGTCACTGCGCCTGTTGAGGAAGGTCAAGTGCAGATCAGAGTGAATGCACATAAATGGAGCCTGTTGTTGAAGGTGCAGTGGGCCCCGTCAGACTGAAAAATTACCATGGCTGCTGTAAGGCAAAGGATGCTTCCCTGCATACAATGAATAACATCATAGCTGAAAGTAAGAGCACAGCGCACTGCTTCGATGAACTAGTTGAAACAAAGCAACCTCATGTGATGCAAATATCTTTCTGAGTGTTAAATAAAATGCAGACCTTTAAAGCATAGATAAAGAGCTCAGGGTTTAACTGTAATCCGAAACAAATATTTGCATAAATATATTTAAATTTTAATTATATTTGATTGTTGTGCTTGAGGCCAATTTGCATACTAAGCCGAATAAGTAAATATAATGAAGAAAACATGTCATAAGTTGAAAAGGTACGCCTATTAAGTCTTAATTTCCTCATTCAAATATCAAATCTTGCAGGAAGGCTCTTTGCATGCAGGGTATAGGCTGTTTTGGAACATGTTTTCAGGCATATTTAACATTTCGCATATTAAAAGGCCCCTGTATTTCAGTGTAATACTGTTAGCCAAATTAAATTGGTTCTAGCAAACTGGGTTTGAAGGATGTTCAGATCTATGAGGCACTGCTGCTGCTGCAAAAAGCTTTGATTTTAAACTGTGAGAGTTAAACAAGTGGATGGCTTTAGCCCTCATCTGCAGACTTGAATTCAGAACTGGTGCTTACAATCATTTTTGTTGTGCATCTCCAGTGCAAGTAGGTGAGACTCAGTGAGGCGAAAGTTTCACCCCAATAAAAATACACCTGCATCTCATGCTATTTATAGATCATTTAGGGTCCTTGGGGAAAATAACGAGAGCCAACAGTCTGAACAGCTGAGATTTGATAAACTGTATCTGGGCAATGTGTTGCCTCATACCACATTGTTTTTCAGACTGAAGCAGAGAACAAAATTCACAGCAAAGATGCAATTTCATGGTTTTTACTTAATTTAAAATTGCAATGCTAGTGTCAACAGCAAGAGAATAATTTGAATATACAACTATCAAGAGTTAAATGTTAAGATAATCAAAACTGGACAATTCTTTATTGGCCATTTCAATCCAATAAAACGGTACATCCTAGGTAATAACCACAGTCAAGCTAATTTTACAGTAAAAAAGGGGCAAAGGTCCCATTGATCACCTATTTTACAGATATTTCTGTTTCCAAGTGGAATGAGGAATGATGTGTCCACAGATTTTTTGGAGCCTTACTGTACCGTTTTATCTGCTTTTAGATGTTTATAATACTACAAAAGTACAACTACAAAGCCGTTACTAAAAATATGACTTTTTAACTGTAGTGAGGCTGTTGAGAAGAGCTTTTTGCAAAGCAACTGTTCTATGAGTAACCATGCTGCGCAGGAGTCTGTGGTAGAAAGAAAACCTTTTTACCCACCTTGCAGGAATTTATAAGTGGGCAGCCCAATAATACATTTAAAAGTTTAGGTAAACCCACCTGCATCCTTTGGGTTTAAGAAGTGTTTTTTTTCCAGAAATTCTGAAGGCTTTATAGCTCCAAATAAGACTCAGCAATAAAACATTGAATTGACTCAAAGAGATGGAAAAAGTGCTGCAGCCCCAACATCTTTATTGTGTTGATCTTCCCAACCAGAGAGATTGGAAGGGTTTTCCAGTGTTACACTTAACTTGCTATTTTGTTATGCCAATTCATTCATAGGAGATCATGGGGATTTTTTGTTAGGACTACGCAAAGATATAAGTTAAGTTATTGTAGGCTATTTAAAAAAAAAATGAATTGTAAATATATCACATTAACCAATGTAGAAAATGGCATGTCATCAGCATATAACGACGTCAATGGGAGATATTAGAGGCTTCTGTTTGATGCTAGCGGCCAATGGTTCATGATAACTAAAAAAAGAAAAGGGGAGCGAGGGCTTTATTATTGTAGGAGATTACTTTTTTATCTCATGCAAATCTCAACATCACAACAAACTTCACTATTTATACATTAATTGAATCTACTGAGTGCTTGGGTAACAATTTTCCATGGCTTCAAGATCCGGTTTGCTCTGTGATTATTATTGATGACATTTTCATAAAAATCTGCAAAAAAGTATTTTTTCAGGGTTCGTCAGTACAGTACCATGAGGACCATAAAGCAGTCATGTTATTAAGTCAACCTGGTTTATGCTTTTTTTGTAGGCTGCAGAAGCCTCCAAATATCAACTAAATAATGCAATTACACAAGTGTTCCATTGTTCTTAAATTAGCTTCTTTGGGGGTGCTGCCTGTCTCAGACAGAATCTAAAGTAAATTTTGTGCTCAAGTTCGACTGGTGGACCTAGGATGCCCATGAAGGACATAGCACTTTTGCTGCTGTTTTCCTAAGGTGTGTTTCGTGGAGGTTTCTTCATGGTAGCCAAAGTGAGATAGGGATAGATGAACACCCGTCGTAATGTAGATGTGCATTCAAGTTGAAGACACCTGCTCACTGACATCAGATAGAGCCGATTTAAGGCTCGAGGACCCATTAAGCTCAGTGAACCTCTTGTCGACTGTGCTGTTCAGCATGTTTATCGCTGCCAGGACATCCTCGTTGGTAGCTGGAATCAGGGCACTAGCAGCATTAGATTTAGTTTCTAGTTCTCACTGGAGTTTTCTTCTTTCTTGTCTCTTTCCTTTATCTGTTTTTTATTTGTTTATTTTTAGAACATTATAAATGGTAAATGGACCTGTACTTGTATAGTGCCTATCCAGTCTTCTGACCACTCAAAGCTCTTTTACACTACAAACACATTCACTCAGTGATGGCAAAGCCTATCGAACAGGAACTAATGCATTCATACACATTCACACACCGATGCAAAGCATCTGGAACAATTTGGGGTTTAGTGTCTTGCTTAAGGACACTTCGACACGTGGCGGGAGGAGCCGGGGATCGAACCAACAAGCTTTCCGATTAGTGGACGACCCGCTCTGCCTCTGAGCAGCGCCTGTATAAGTAATTTCAGACACAGGGAAATGAAATGTAATCTCTTTTTGGTGAGGTAAAAGGTGAAGTTGAGGTCGAGCTCCCCCAAAACATATCTACTCCATACAAAAGCAAAGCTGAAGCCCCCTTATGTTCTTTAATAAAGCAACAGATAGTAACTGGGCACATGTCCAGATACAGTACACTTCAAAGGCTTCAGGCTGAACACTTGAGTCGCTGATTTTCTTTCTCTGAACACATTCAAGCAGAGAGGAGGAACTAATCAGTCAAATCAGCTCCCGTAATTATTAACATCAATAAAATTCTCAGTGGTCCATGACTAGAATTCACTAAATACATCAATTTAGAAAACACTAAAAACAACAAATCTGAGTGGACTGACCACTCTCCTAAATATATATCACTGCTACTCATCGAATCTAATTTTACCTCTGTTGCCCTAATGTAGCAGCAGACATGATTACCCTAATGCATGTGAACAGAAGCTATTCTAAGACAAATCACTCTACCCAAGACCCATGCCTCATTTGTGCATTGTTCAAATGTTTGCAGAAAATCTACCAGAAATCAAAACAATGCATTAGCGAGTAAAATATGACTTTTGCAAAAAGAAACAATTTCTCTTGCATTTTACTCTTGAACAAAACAGAAACATAGTCTGTGTTAAAAAAACAACACTTAGTGGTAAAAATAAAACTTGAAAATAGACAAAATGACAGTAAAAAGTTGAAAGCTGGAATGCAAATACAAATACAAATACAAATACAAAACTGAACAGTAGTTAGTGTAGTGACATATCTAGGTGGATAGAAATGTAAAAATTTTTTGACCAATAAATAGCCATTACTCCACTGTTGCCAGAAACCAAAACGTTCTACAGCCTCACTAAAGGCTCAAAAACAACATATTTGTCATTGAATAAGCATTACTTGATCCACCCTGTTTGAAGTTTCTGTGGAAGAAAAGTGAAAGTGGGTAAAGAAATGCCTGCCCAAACATTTAGTTTCAGAAACACTTGAAATTTTACCTGCCAGAGGAACATTGCATTCATAATAACTTCAAGTTGGACACAGATTTTAAGCCTGAAATTATACCCGCTTTGTTGCTTTCAGACGGGTGAAATTTCAAGTGTCGAACTGATTTCACAAGCCTGAAATTATAGTAGTATTGTGGCTGTCACAGGTGTAGGTGGAGCTGTCATGTGGAAATTATCTCCTTGAAATTTTATGTGTAAGCTGGATTTCAAACATTTGATATTAAGTTTGTTCCGTTGAATCTTTTTTATGGGCCCCATGATTGGCCTCTTTTTGCCATTAAATTAAAGTGTGTTTGTGCATGCTGTACCATCTGTAAAAGCTGACAGACGGATGGATGAATGGATGGATAGATGGACTGACAGACATGCATAGGGGAAGCCCCCAGGGCGAAGAAAAATAATATCCGGAATATTCCATCCATCCATCTGCCTGTCAGATTTGACAGACAGCTCAGCAGAGGAATAACTGAAAGCTGCTGTAAAAAGAGACCAACATTAGTCACACATATTCAAACAATCATAACATTGAGTGTCTGTCGTCCAATTTACACTTGAACTTTCAAGCAGGAGTGCCACACAATGCCCATCATTTCACAAGTGTAAGCAACAATGGGGCTCTAATTTTTAAGTGTTTGAAATCAACTCTGCACTTGAAATTTCACCTGCCAGAGGCACACTGTTACCAAATCAGAAGTTTGGAGAGGCAGTTGTGACCGCCTGGGTTCACACTCTGGGATGCACAGCAGGCAGGAAATGTGAAGCATCAACACTAAAGCACTAGAGCCTGTACTTTGCCACGATAGTTTGGAAAATACATAAATTATATAATCCAGTATATAGTACAGGGTAGGGGTGGGCAATATAATTTGAAAACTCTGTTATATTAGGTAGCAGCGCACCACGTTGTAAACACGTTGACATACTATCACCTTATATTATTAACAGAGACAAACTTGTTAGCAAACAGTCTATTTACATTGATATGAAACTTTGTAATTTTAAGTCCAATGTTCATTCTCTTTTCAAGTCTATTTTAGTCTCTATCAACTACTGAATGAAATAATCAGGTTTTTTAGCCACTAAATATCTCAACTGTGACTGTGAAAACAAAGCAGTAATGTTATTGTAATTATTAATGTAATTAGCTGAAACATGCTAAACACAATGTTATAAAATGAGAAATGAGACAAATTTCAATAGAATTTCACTACATAGCTTTACTTAACTTACTACAAGGCGCTTTTAACTGTTATGAAAGTCTCAATTTAATACTAATGCCTCTACATGACCTACATAAGCACACCATACCATTAGTGAGAAGATTGGCTATTTCTATATAGTCATTAATGCCTGCTACTGGCTTTGATTCAGTCAGATTCCATGGAAATCAATAAAACGAGTGGGTGGAAAAACTTGCACTTTTGTCCACAGGTGCCCTCAGAACAGATTTTAGCTTTGTGATTCGGTCTTTTCTTTGTTCCCCTCTTTATTGTGTGTGCATTTGTTGACCTGGTTGATGAACTGCTGCCTACAATTGCTCCCTGTTGCGATATATAAAGTTGTATTGAACAGAAAATACAGAATTATTGCCAAATATAAATACAATATTGGTCTGTAATATAGAATGCAAATTAGACATACATAAAAACATGTGCACCACAAAAGAAAAGGCAGCACAAATAAAGAGTGGCCTGGTTTATGCTTTTTTTGTAGGGTACAGAAGCCTCCAAATATCAACTAAATAATGCGATTGCACAAGTTGACTAAGTGTTCCACTGTTCTTAAATGAGCTTCTTTGGGGGCGCTGCCTGTATCAGACAGAATCTGCATAATTATATATTTTGACCTGTAAAAGTATCTGCAAAACAGGACACATTTGTTGTATGCACGTTTCTTTTGAGTCTGGCAATGATTGCAAGCAGTGTAAACCGTATGTGCAAAGTTACCAGCTCTCATTTAGAGACCGCTGGTTTAAGGGGCTACTTAGCCTGTAATTTGCTGCCAGCTATCAAGAGTTCCTGCCAGAAACACTCAGAGAGCGATTTCCACTTGGTATTCACAGATTATGGCTTCAGTCATTGACGAGGAAAGATTCAAAGCACCAATTGATCCATGAGAAGTAAAACTAAAGCTACTTTGAGTTCAGCCTCAACAGCAGATTGGACGTGAACATAAAAACAAAATCATACTATATTTAACTTTAAGATATCTGTGGCACTACAGAGGTCACTGCTGTTTGTGGTAATGGCTTATTGATCAATGGTGGTTATCTGACTGAAGAACAGCACTGTGCACCGTGGTGTAAACTCATTGGATAACCATAATCCCCGCTCTCGCAGTGCTTGACATATTTCCTCAGGTGAGAAATATTGAGTGACCCACAGAGATTTTTGTCCTGCAAATATCTCTGGTACCGGTAGATAAGGGGGCCACTGCACAGCATGTCTGTAAAACAAGACAGTAAAAATGTCTGCAGGTGGTATTGCACCGGGGAATGAAATATTGGCTTTGTCCAATGTTCGGCTTGGGCGTCTGCTATGGCCTTGAGGCGTTTGCTATTGCTAAGCATGTGACTGTTATATTTAAATCAGCATTTAGCTCCAACTAAAACATCAAAGGGCAAGAGTGGGCAATTCCGAGTTGTTTCTCAATCCGCTGTGGCAAATTGTACCCACTATCGAGCCACTTCCTCCATCGACGTCCCTCAAAAAAATCAAATTTACATGGAACCCCAGCTTCCAGTGCTTGAAATTGCTTTCTGCACCATGCCTAATCACTGAAAAAGGGGATGATCCAACTGAGCGTCTGTGATTCGTGTGGGAGAAGGAAATTTGGATCAACTTTCTACTGGAGCTGTGTTGGTTAATCTACTGAACATCAAAGAAAAGAAAGGGGAGGGAGGAAGTGGAAGAGGGGAATTTATCGCGTGGGCTTGATTGGAAATCCAGCGGGGGGACTCTGGTCCCTCTGTAATCGCCTGTAATCTCCTGTTGGGTCGTATGTGGCTTGAGAGGAGCCGCGAGGCAGCCTATTACCCATCTCCTGCCGATGGGAGGCCCTGATAGTGCACTGTTGGAGGATGACAGGAAATGAGGAGGAGGAGGAGGAGGAGTAGAGGAGCACAGGACAGAGAGAGAAATAGTGTAATCTCTCCTATCCAGGCACAAACATAAGGTAACATCAAAGTACCGTCAAGCCAGAGCTCAGAGGGAAGTTGGCCTTTGTTGTTAATGAATTGATCATAATTTCCTCAACACTGGGAGATCAATACCAGCCTGTCTGCAGCTTTGCAGCTTTCCATGTGAGAGCTTTTCACACGCATTTCTGTCAGTGGTAGTTATTCCTAGTTCATCAGTGCTAAAGAGTATTGATCAATAGGCCAGTTGAAGTTGTTGAGAAGAGCAAAGGGAGCAACTTACCCTTCTGGACTGGATCTCATTCACGTAGAGAGGCAGGAGAAACTCAGAGATCCCCTCCAGGCGAATACCATCCTCGCTCAACTGAAGGTTTCCCATTCCACCCTGGAACATAATCACGATTATTAGCGATGTTGTGATGAGCAGTGCGGATTTCTCCTGATTTCCTTCATTCAAAAAGGATTATAGTTTCCCAAATGCATAAAAAATTGAATCCTGCTTGTGTCTGAACTGCATTAGGAAGAGCAGTAGCTTCTGCGTGCCAGACGGGCCGGTAGACGGGTAGTGGCGCTGAGTGACAGCGAAGAAGTAGGACATGACATCGAGGTGACAATGCCACATACACTCAGTGGTGTCAGGGTGACAGGCTGCATGCAGTGGGAGGCAGACTGAGGAGAACCAGGCTAATGTGGCAGCTGCGGATGTGAGTGTTGAGGAGACTCATGAAAATAACAGAAGAAAGTATCAAATGGTTGTGCAGATTTACACGAGTTGGTTTAGTACGGTTTACATTATTTTAAGAATTATTCGTGGTAGTAGTTGCTGTTGGAGTTTTAATACATTTCTTTGAGCATACATACAAAAGGTCTAAATGTAAGAATAATAAAGATATCAAGATCAAGATAGATATCAAGGTCGATGCAAATCTTATTTAGCTGACTGCTATCAACCAACAGTCCACAGTTTTCTTGTCAATGTCATTATATTTTGCAAACCCTCGCCTCATACCAAACATGAAATGATCCCACTGACATAAAAAACAGAGAGCAACCATATTGGATCGGTACTTGAGTTGAGGTATCAGAATTCATTTTGGGAAAAAAAGTTGGATCAGACTATAAGCAATGAAGGACAATACCAGTGTGTTTTCAGGTGTCCTTTACAACAAACCATGTATACTTACCCATTTTTTCACAACACAAGCTGAAGCTTTTGGTGTATTTTTACTACTTATACTGTCATTGGTAATTATGTAATCTGTCACAGTGAACATCAAGTCTGTGTTGACTTTTACTTTACTTTTAAGCCAATTTAAAAAAGGACCAGGATTGTGTAGGATTTAGTGGCGTTGAATTTTCAGATTGAACGGTCATTTCAAAACAAAACAATTCTTATATTCAGGTGATTATACACTAATGAAAACATTCCTGTGAATATTACATTCCATTTCTGCCAATAGATCCTCCAAAATGTTACACACTGCACCTGTAAGCTCAGTTGTAATTGGTAACACTAAAAATAACTGCACTCCATTGAGGTGAGCCAGTTTTATTGTGCAATGCTGGCTCACCGGGACACTTTATGGAACTGAGCCATTGTTAACGATATTTGTTTCACCTCTGCTACTTTCTTGCTATGACAAGTCAAAACATCCGCCATGAAGAAAGGTCCATAAATATTAAAATATCCCCTTACCTTCCTGGAAGGGACCTCATGCTGCTCTAGTGTGTGTGTGTAACTGAAAACTCCAACCAATCAAAGTCATCCCAACTTTTCAACAATCCTTTCAGATGGTACTTTAAGATCAGACTGCCTTGCTCTCAATAGCCTACTGGTTTACATATGAACCCTCACTGTACTCTTTCAACAGGAAATATTGAAAGAATATAAAATGGAACATGATTCTGCAACTTCACTGCATATTTTTCACCTTACATTTAAATTATTCAGGACCTGATTCTGCTGGCAGATAATTCTGTATAAATTGGACAAGGTTATGCCTTGCCACACCACAATGAGCAAAGTGAAGTTTGAGGCCAGCTTTTTAAGGATGTGTGTGAACAGATGGGCCCTGAGGGACGCGTTGAAATAGTCCATAGTGCTAGCAGCACAAATGGATGGAGATAGTGAATTATGGAGGCGGAGTACAGCGACGAGAGCTCCATCATACATGGTAGAGAGCCAGGACTGGGGACAGACAGCAGGACAAAGTCAGAGGAGCGGAGGAGGTGGGTGGAGCAGTGTGGAGTTCTTTGTATGTCAGCAGCCAGACGTTAAAGTCACTGCTGTGCTGAAGTGGAGGTGATGCTGTGGGTGTGGAGAGTTTGCTAAAAGCTGAAGTCAGTCAGACGAGTGGGTGTGAGGCAGGACAAACAGGAGGGCGTTACAACAGTCCAGTCGTGACGCACTGAAGGCCTGGAGAGTTATTCAGCATCAGTGAAAGAAATAAACGAACAGATACAGGCAATGTTTCTGAGGTGGAAAAATTACAAATGGAAGATTTTGCTTTAGTAAAACTGCAGAGATATCGCCCAAGGTTACACTTTTGTCCTTAACAAGCAGGCAGGAGTTTGGGATTTTTTTTGGTGATACTAGTAGTACAACAGCCCATGTGATAGATTTGTCCAATCAATGAAAAAGTCAAGAAGGAATGACACATCTTTACATGCAAACATCCAGGTGTGCTTGTGAAATATATGACAGGAAATTATCATGTACCACATGTATGGTTTTTGAGCATGAATTAGCAGCATGTAAAGCATATAAATAAGCATCCCATGTTTATTAATGCTGAGTGATTATGTGGTCACTTTATTCTTTCACATGCTATTGGAAAATCCTACGAATTTTGAAGGACATAAACAATTTGTTTGTACTGTGATCTTTCTTTTTTTAAGGACTTAAATTTGTCCGTGAACTTGAAAGTAACAGATTTTACACATAAAATGTCAGTTTACTAGTTAAGAGTCTGTAAAAACATTTTTTGTGGCTGTGGACTAGCTTTCTAAAGTCGGAGAAAATATCCTTGAAAATAACACTGGGGAGAAACCCTGGGGTTGAACCCTGGGTCCAGCTTTTTTATGTGGCCATTAGGGGCATTTATGCAATGTCGGAAGAATGAGAAGAAGAAGAAGAAAAACAACCCTTGTTCTGATTTGGGATGGATCGTGAATTATTCCAACGTGGTTAGCCCAAGTGCTTCCTCATAATCGTAACAAGTGGTGTTGTAGCTCTTGCAGTTTTGGGACAACTTTATTGTTGACACTGAGGCTTTTGGGCAGTAGCTGTCATCAGGCTTTGTGTGTGATGTCAGACAGTTGATCATATACCAATTGTGGCAGCTTTTTTGGAACAGAGTGGAGACTTTAAAACTAGGAGACAATGTTCTCATGCCAGTGTTTATAATACCAACACAGCGGGGTGTAGTTCGGCTGGTGTTTTCTTATTGAGCTGCTGAGTCCTGAGAGATGGGGAGCAGTGGAGTACATTTTCTGGAGCGACACCAACAGCACTGATAAGGTCTTTTACTCATGACACAGATTGATGGGAGGAGAAGGAGTAGAGGAGTGATAGCAATAGTCAGGGGACGCATCCGTCACAGAGGGGGGATGCTGCCATCGTGAGTTTGTTGACAAAATGGTAAATTGTGTGCATTGTCCCTGGAAATGTCACAGGAGCTCGCAGCATCTGCCTGTTTGGTTTTCGTTTGAGATGAACACATTCTGTGTCAGCCGGTCCCGCTGCCAAGTTTTTTCTAATTCTTTATCAAATCCAGATTAGACAAAGCACACAGCATGAGAGATGGTGCCTTTGACACATTTCAAATTGGGCCGCATGAATAAATTCCTCCACTAAGGCTTTTTGTATTAAGGTCAAAATAAAGAACAAAAGACAGAAAGAAAGAAAAACTATACTTGACCAACTTATTGTAAAACTCGTTCCTTAACCGTAAACTATGCAAAGTAGTAGACTGACAATCATTATTTAAGCAGTATTGATATTAAATGCTGTACATTATCTGCAATTCAGCATCATATTCATCATTCTATTTATATTTGAAATCCATGTTAAATTTTCTGAAAACACAGTATGAGACTAATTGTTTTCCTCTCGTAGCATCTCATTTGATATTAAGCCTTGCTGTGCACTTGATGCCAAGTACTTACGTTTTTAATTTTCTGATCTCCAAACACATTTCCACATTTAATTTCTGAGCTTATGATTGTATTTTAATAAATGTTACGTAAGAGCAGTCTATAAGCCTTTTTGATGTGTCTGTTAAGACTTTAGTCAGAATTACCAAACTAATCATTATGCGTCATAATATTACCCACCGAAAATCTCTTTAAAAATGTATCTTTTTTTCCATCGTTGGTGCGAGGCAGCCTCTACTGTGTTTATTTCACTTGTCAATATAATTGTGGATATCATTTTCTCTGGATTTTCTGTAGGGTGTGCACTTTTCTTCATGTAGCCATACAAGCTACTGCTTCCCATGCTTACTACCCAATTGTTCTTTTATTTAACCTAAAAGATAATTAACTAAGGGTTTAAAAGCTCCGGTATCTAGGATTTAGTGGCATCTAGCGGTGTAATTGCAGATTGCAACTTCCTCACTTCACACACGTAAAGCAGAAGCCCTATCTAGAGCCAGTGTTTGGTTTGTCCCTTCTGGGCTATTGTACTAACATGGCGGTTTAATATAGCAGACTCCATGGAACATGCAACCCGCGACATCTGCAGATATAAATGTATATGTATATGTAAGTAATATGAATATTATATTCCATTTATGCCACTAAATCCTCCTAAATGTTCACACTGGAAATCATGTATCAAGCAGAAGTCACAAGCTACACAAGGACTTGCTGTTTCTCTCTCTCTCTTTTAAATTGAATATATTTGGGTTTTAGATGGTTAGTAAAACCAAATGAGCAATTTGAAGACATTTCCTTCGGCTTTGGGAACTTTCAGTGGGCATATTTTGCACTTTTCTGACATTAATTCAGTCCTACAGTGGAGCTTTTTCCAGGAAAGACTAGTTGTCAAGAACAATAAGTCACTCATAAACTGGGTACAGCTTAAACAATTGTTGTCTCAGAATTAACGATATTTAATAACTTATAAATAATTGAGAAGTTATTTTGAACGATGCTGTAACTCACCACTGAGAAATTCATGACCTTTATGATCCAGACAGTGAGGGCCAGGTTCACTATCATGGTGACCAGGAGCAGCAGCAGAAAGAAATAGAGGCATCTTTTCCTCCAGCCGTACAGACCCACTGGGTACACGGCATCGCAGCCTGGTCGCTGGAGGTGCAGGGACTGGGACGCGAGGATAAACTGCTCCTGGGTAATCTGGAAAAACAAACAAACAAACACACACGCACGCAGGACTCTTTATGTTAGCTGGCTGTCAAGAATATTTTCACTCCGCAGAAGCAATCACATATTGTAAGTGGTTATTACCTTTCAAGCACCACTAAAAATGACTCTGGGCTGAGGCATGGCTGTGTACAATTTTTGAAAAGTGGTGCCACTACATAAAGAATAAAAGGTGTAAGCATGGCATAAATATAAGACTGAGTATTATTACAGTCTGAAACATCCACGCTTGGTAATTTAAGCGGAGAAGGGGGTATTTTCGATCTGTAATACACTAGAATCTGATTGTTTAAATTTTGAATGAGGGTTTACAGATGTATTTTGGGAAAAATTACTATTTTCCGTGGTTTGCAACTTTTACCTCGGTACAGCAGCCCTACGCACCTTCAGAAATGGAACCAGTGGCAGAGTAATTCATCAAGCTCTGTGCCTTAAAGACAAGGTCATTTGGGTGAATTTATTTTATTAAAAGATTGATCCAAATCAGAGTGCCCAAATCCAAAAGGTGACGTGTTTCATTCCACCGCAGGAAAGGGGAATCATCACTCAAGATTTATCGATTACAAGTTGCATCAGTTGTGGGAATACCTAGCCCAGAAGTGGAAAAGCGCTTAGATAACACATTTACAATTCTTTGATTTCTTGAATCAACAAACAGAAATCTGGAGCCCAATCTAGATACTAATGAACTAATCATAGCGATTGATGGAACGTGATTGTTGACATCTCTGATGTATTTCTCTACTTTACGGTGAAAATTCTTTTCTATGGATTTAATTACATGTCACAGCTTTGTTTACAATGCTAATTACTTGCTGACATTTTGTCAAGCTTGATCCCCGTGTTCACAAACAAAGTCCCCATGAGTGACAGCTTCCTGTTTACCGTTGCCGTCTGGCTGAGATCTTTATAATGTTACTTCCCATCAATCTTCCACGGGGAAATATTTCATGTGCCACCTGCACTAGGCAGTCTTTATGGAGCCATGTCCAGCAGAAGCTGTGGAACTGAAAGAGGCGGTTGCCACAGGGAGCGAGTCCCTCTTTAAAAGTCCAGCTTGAAATTTCACATTATGAACTAATTAGCGCCTACTCTTCTTGCTCTCAGCACTGACGAAAACGGGAGGTGGATTATGAGACAAAGGATCAATTTGGTGCCAGAGAAATGTTCTCCACTCTGGCTGAGTAACTGAGTGCCTGCCAGCGACTCGGAAGCTGCTACATGCGAGCTCTGATCTGAGATCAGAGAGGATGATGTCTGTCAAGTGCGGTCGTCCGGGCGAAGGCGAGCAGTTGCTGTTCTCCAGCCGATCGTGACTGCGGGGCTGACAGTGTGAAACTCCCTATCACAGGGTGCGAGGCTGGCTGAGCTGAATTCATACTGAGGCCGCCTGCCATCCTGCTCTCTTGCATAGGTAATGAAAAAAAAAGCAAGCACCTGCTAGTAGAAAGCAAAATAAAATGTCCAGCAGCAGCAGCAGCAGCAGAATGTCCAATGATATCAAAAGATCTCTTAAAAAGTTGCTCCCACATCCAAGCAGCAACTATTAATTCATTCTGCCAGTATAAAATACTTTAATTGCATGAAACACACCTCTATAATTGACACACCTGTGCACGGTAATCCCCAGAGGAGTAATGCATGCATAACTCAAGTCAGAATCCATGGCCCACGTGCTTTATTCACACTCAGCACATCATTAGCATAAGACACTGATGGCAGGGATCATTAGATTGTATGTTTTCCTGACAGGCTCTCATTAACCGTGGCAGAGCAAGCAAAGGCTCTTTAGTTCAGAAAGCTAACGACTCTTTCCTAAGAGGGACTGAATTACTTGACAAAGGTTTAAGCAGGGGAAGAATCTGTATCCGGGGCTCCTCTTTACCTCATTGGTTCAGATGTGGCTGCAGGCAACTTACAGAAGGAGCAACGCTACAGAAAGTGTCTGTTTTAACAACCAGGACGCCGAATCAGCCGGTGACGCTGCTCATTATTGTTGCAATAAATCAATATCTCTTACAGCAGTTGTGTTGTTTTTTTTGTGTGTGTTCATAAAACCACAGTCAGAGTGCAGCAGGCAGTGTGTGGTGTGTCAGCTGGTAAAGGCTGGTGCCAGAAATAGGCATTATAGAAACACCTGCTTTTTCAGATATGTTTAAATGAGAAAGCCTTAAACTAAAACAAAAAAATGACTTAATTTCACACAATGTGAGACCAAGGAAGCAGCAGATCTGAGAAGATGAAACCAGCCAGCCGTTATCACAATAGATGCCAGTTCATTTTCTGTTGATTTACTAATTGATTATACTACTAATTGTTACAGCTCTACTTTACATAGATCCATCTAGAGCTGGAACTGATAATTGATGAATTGTTCATTAATTAATACAAGCAAAAGAGTCAGATGATTTGCTGCCACATGTGATAGCAAACTGAATATCTTTGGGTTTTGGATAGTTGGTTGGATTCTGGGAAACTGTATTGGGCCTGTACATACAAACAATTACTCAATTGAGGTGGTCAACGGTCAAGCATTTTACTGGCCTATTATGTGAAATTATGCAATTCAAAATTTTAGAAAGCCACAAAAATACATGTCTGTGCCTTCACACTGATCTCCAAATCTGTACCATGACATTGAGATTGGACAATCTCTAAACCGGAACAACAACAACAACAACAACAAATAGTAACGCACTTCAAACATGGCATCTATCAACAGTCTTCCACAGCTTTCCCACTGCCTCTCAACTTGATCCACTGTTTAAGTGCCTGTTTCCTTGGATGAGCAGTTTAGGTCAGTGGCGGCAGATGTCTCACAAATGGATGTTGCGACTTTGCAGCAAATACAAATGACCCATATCGCTGGCCTAGAAATGTCAGTGATTCCAATTTAACCAGCGACACAGCTGAGGGACAAGAGCACTATGAGAGGTGCTTACACAAAGGCTGAATATCAACTCTAAATAAAATGCAGTGTCACAGGAGACTCTCTTTTATTACAACCACAACAGTGCACTACGTTGGAAGATGCCTTACACACAACGTTCAGTAAAAACCACACACTGAGCTACCACAGATCATCTTCGAGACACTTCTACACATCCTCGCACTTAATGTGAATCCAAGACACTCAAGAAAAGTCTACAAACATTAGAATAACTCTGTTTAAAACCACTCTTTTTGCCTACAGCCATGCCCCTGCTGGACAGATTCAGTCTATTTTCAATCCACTGTTGCTAGGGGAAACTTCAGCACTTGTAATTTCTATGGCAACCCACTGTTCCCAACGCTAGTGGATCCTGTGATTTCTTTGCAAGAGTTTTAATGCATATATTACCCCGGTCGAGTCAGGCCTCCTAAAGCTCGGTTATTCACAGAGCAAATGGAGGAGTGCATAGCGGCTGGCGTTTTGTCAATCTGTCATTTCAGCATGCCGGTCACAGCTGACTCTCACAAACACGCTGGACCGGGCTGATCGAGATGTGCGACTGCGGCGGGTGCGGGAAACAACTTTGACTTTTGAGAAACAAAATATTGATTACACAGCAAGCTGTGCAGGCACGTCACACTGAATCCCATTCATCAGTTTGTGTCAGCTTCAGTAGGTGTGACAATTAACAACTTTATGCAGAAGAATTGTTAAGCAGCAGAGTCACTACACAAACGGTCCTGATAATAATTCGAAATTAGGAGCAGCGGTCAGTTAAAAGGTCACTGCAGGGACAGATGGACACATGGCAACTCTGATACAACTGAGCCGAACAATAAATAAGTAGAAATCTCTTACCATACTTATTCATTCACAGAATTTTCAATAAACTGTGAGGATACCATATAATTCAACTGACAATAGCTACATCTAAACCTAATCCAAAGTCTTGACATGGTCAGATTGTTGCTCAATTTGGACAAACAAATGAGAAATGAGCCATTACAAGAAATGACCCCCACAAGAAGTCACAGGGTGAAATTTAAGGGATCACAAGCTGATTATCTGGGCAGGATATAGGAAAACCAAAATTCTAAAACACAGGATTAAGTTGAAGTTTAGCAATTTTCCCTAATTTTGTTTGTGGTTGTAAAACTGTATAGTTTAAATATTACTCACATGAAACACTCCAAGAGGATAAAATGCTCTCCAACTTCAAGTGAACTGCAAGTTAAACTTAAAAAAATAAAAATAAATAAATACACTGCACTGGGGTTGGCGAGTCGTCCATCACCCTGTTTCCTGCGTCTGGGTTGCCGGCTGCCGGCTGCAGATGCTCCATTTTCATCTTACAAAATGACTGTGTCCTCATACATATTGCTAAAATATTCAGAAGTGTTATCACGAGATCAGGTGGACGTCTAACATCATTTAATACGTCTTCACACACCAAATAACGGAGTAGATATTCACTTTTTTTCTCACCTTGCCTTTCATGAGCCAAAAAAAGCATTAAACACAAAATACACGCTGAAAGAAGGACGTACATCACTGCTGCATTATGCATTACATTCACAATCACTTTTTTTTAGAATATAAATTACAGACCTTTCATACAACATACGTTTTACTTTGGAAGAAAAACTGTTGTTTAAAAGTTAAAGCCCTAAGCTCCTTGAAAGAGAAGGGCATTCTACTTTTTAAAGGGTTAGTTGTTTAGATTTTTTGAAGTGTGGTTGTACAAAGTTCACCTGCAGTAGAAAGCGGTCAGCACGCCCTCAGTTAATAATATCGCTAATGTAATATCCCTCTCTTCAAAGCCACCAGACACCATTGACAAAAACAGTAATTTCACCCCACAGAACAGGGAAATTGCTGCTCTACCACTTCTTCAATCCACAGCAACTAAGTAACTCGTTCAGATTCTGACTAACGTGTTACTCTTAAGTCATACAATGGCACAAATTAAAATGACTGTTTTAAAGAGAGCATTAATGGATAGAACTGCTTCAGTTCCGCGTCAGAGAGGGCTCCCTGAGGGTTAAGCGGTGAAAATATTTGAAATACAGCTTACACTTAAACTGCCCCTATCCACAGCAGTACATTCCTTAGCTTTCGTACCGGTACTCCTGTCAGCTTCTCCAAACGGAGGGCGAACTGACTGCCATCTATACACCGACTACTAACTTCGTACAACCCGACTTAAACAAATCCAAACTAACCCTATACGTGAACTCATTCAATGTCAACGGATGTTAAGTGTTTGGTTAATTTAGTCCAACGCTTGTGATTCACAGTTATAGTGTTTTGCACTCCGGTGGCTGAAAACAATGAATTAAGCTTAAATAACGTACATGATACTGGTGACAACAGCCACATGAATGAGTGGACAATGACAAGAATGGGACTAAGAATAATTCAATGCTCAGAACTTCACAGAAAGTCTAAAGACCTGTTTCTTTCCCCACTCAACTAAGATGAGAGCACTTTTTCCAGGTAAAGTGTCTGTAATCCAAAAAGGTTTGTTTAGGCACAGTTAGAGTAGAGTGGAGCTCTACCTATGTTGGAAAAAAAAAATTCATATCCGTTCTAGTACGCAGCTCGAGACAAATGCCAGCAGATTATCACCGACAGATGGGTCTGAAATCTACTGAAAGCTACAGATGGTTTACCACCTACAGCGATTACATGTAGTTTCTATTAATAGAAAACACCTACACAGTAACTCGCCTCTCTAAAAGGTACAATAAACTCTAAAAACTGCAGATCATGTGCTGCGCTGTAAAAGCCCTTGTGGATTCGTTGCACGACCATATTTATCGATGCATACTTTATCAAACCCTTTCAAGTTAGTACTGCGATCTATGTCACTTTCCCTTTTTGCTGGGCGGTGGGAGTAAGGGGGTCCTCAGAGCTTTGCCTACAGACGTTACAGCTGCATCCAGCTAAGGCCAGCAATTACCCAGCAGTCCCTTCCCACCGCCAGCACGCCTCATCTTCACCAATTAGCGTTGAGGGTGATATTCTTCATGCTGTTTTGATCAAACAGTGACATGCGGCAGAGGCAGCAAAATGCGGCTGAGACGTCCCTAATGAAAGAAAATTAGACGTTATTAACGCTCGATATTGTTAATCAGCAAATCGCCCAGCGCTTTCTGGCTTGGCGGCGGCACAAGGGCCCCGCAGGGCCTCCTCAGCTGGAGGTAAGAAAACATTTGAAATGCACTAATGACTGAGAAAGCTTGTACTCGTCCATCCTGCATGCCAACGCTGCCCAATTGCTGAGGCAGCAACTATGGGAAAGGGATGCACACATCATGTTGCTAAGTCTGATATACAGTATCAAAGCACCTATTCATTTAGCTATTGTGGGCTCTTCAGTTTGACAGAGAGCCCAATCAGGGAGACAGAGGAGCCTGAGTGCGCGGCTGAAACCGGGGAAGCCAAGTATATTTCTCAAATGTGCGAGTCAATGCATTGACGCAACCATTTCACATTTTGTTGACGTGACAACCGAGCATGTTGGCGAGGCTGCTGCTGACAATAGCCGCTTCCACTTAGATGTGAAATCCAATTTTCGTGGCTCCATCATCTCTGGTGGAGTTACAATGGCGGCGGAGCTCGTCGATGGCTTTGAGTTTCGCTGTGTGGTTGCCCTTTGTGGATGGATGGCAGCGCGCTTCCTTCCGCTGAAAGCAACGAGGTAACCGCGCCGTATGTACGGGGCACGGCGGGGATCAAAGATCTCCAATAAGACCACGGAAAGGTCGCAGCTGTTCAATCAGAGCACGCAGCCAACAAGACTGAACATCACAGAGCGTTTGAAGACGGGGTTTTTCAGAGAGAATTTCCCCTTGCTGTTACACGCTCTTTTTGATGGTGCTTTCATGAAAAATATTTGTACTCTGCACAAGCTCGCCGGCACGCCGCACCTCTGACCTTTGCATCGTTTATTAATGCTGAGAGCTGCTTTTGTTTTAAAGTCTGCCCCGTCAGTTCCTTCCTCGCCGTTGATGATGTCTCTGGCAGCGGGGGAGAAGACGACAAACTGCTGATGTAAACAGACAGACACTTCTCCACAGCACACTAGCTTTCCTTGCTAATCCCTAACAAATCCTTGGAGAGCCAACGGGGCCATTTTGGACAGCACCCCATAGGCGTCATTTGCATTCATCAGTCGAACGCACACGGGAAGTGCCAGACTGAACGCAGCACTATCAACCAAAATGATGTCACGAAGGAGCCTAAACAAAAAAACACAAAAAAAACGACCTCTTGTTTTAATCAGAGGAGATTGCAGATTCTCACACTTTTGTATCACCTTCCTGGGATTAAAAAATAAATAAAAATATTAAACATGACAAATTAGCTTCAACTTGCAGACTTGTCACAAAGTGGGAAGTGCTGGATCAGCTGAGGGCCAGTGTGAGCAGGGGTGATTTCTTGACTGATAAGCGTGGCCCCAACCACTAAGCCCAGAGCTGTGTCTGTCTGTGTGTGTG